AGGACTATAGTCTTTCATAGTCTTTACTATAGTCTTTCATAGTCAGGACTATAGTCTTTCATAGTCAGGACTATAGTCTTTCATAGTTAGGACTATAGTCTTTCATAGTTAGGACTATAGTCTTTCATAGTTAGGACTATAGTCTTTCATAGTTAGGACTATTGTCTTTCATAGTCAGGACTATAGTCTTTCATAGTCAGGACTATAGTTTTTCATAGTCAGGACTATAGTCTTTCATAGTTAGGACTATAGTCTTTCATAGTGTTTACTATAGTCTTTCATAGTCTTTACTATAGTCTTTCATAGTCAGGACTATAGTCTTTCATAGTCAGGACTATAGTCTTTCATAGTCTTTACTATAGTCTTTCATAGTCTTTACTATAGTCTTTCATAGTCAGGACTATAGTCTTTCATAGTCTAGGACTATAGTCTTTCATAGTGTTTACTATAGTCTTTCATAGTCTTTACTATAGTCTTTCATAGTCAGGACTATAGTCTTTCATAGTCAGGACTATAGTCTTTCATAGTCTTTACTATAGTCTTTCATAGTCTTTACTATAGTCTTTCATAGTCAGGACTATAGTCTTTCATAGTCAGGACTATAGTCTTTCATAGTCACGACTATGGTCTTTCATAGTCAGGACTATAGTCTTTCATAGTCTTTACCATAGTCTTCATAGTCTTTAATATAGTCTTAATAGTCTTTACTATAGTCTTCGTAGTCATGACTATAGTCTTTCATAGTCAGGACTATAGTCTTTCATATAGTCAGGGCTATAGTCTTTCGTAGTCAGGACTATATTCTTTCATAGTGAGGACTATAGTCTTTCATAGTCACGACTATAGTCTTTCATAGTCACGACTATAGTCTTTCATAGTCAGGACTATAGTCTTTCATAGTCACGACTATGGTCTTTCATAGTCAGGACTATAGTCTTTCATAGTCTTTACTATAGTCTTTGTAGTCATGACTATAGTCTTCATAGTCTTTACTATAGTCTTCATAGTCTTTAATATAGTCTTAATAGTCTTTACTATAGTCTTCGTAGTCATGACTATAGTCTTTCATAGTCAGGACTATAGTCTTTCATATAGTCAGGGCTATAGTCTTTCGTAGTCAGGACTATATTCTTTCATAGTGAGGACTATAGTCTTTCATAGTCACGACTATAGTCTTTCATAGTCACGACTACAGTCTTTCATAGTCAGGACTATAGTCTTTCATAGTCTTTACAATAGTCTTCATAGACGCGACAATAACCAACGGGATAAATACACCTCTTCACTCTTGCTTTAAATCATTTTACACTGTCTCTTGAGAAGTAAACATGTCTTATGAATGCGACATCTGCGGTAAAACGTTTGCAAATGCGAGTAATCTCCTTCGCCACAAGAAGGTTGTCCATGCATATGGAACTCGTAATCTTGGGCAGCAAACTCTCACGGTGAATGTGGTTACAGTCATGCAGCATCCCTTTACATGCATCGTTGCAGGATGTACCCAAAGCGGCAAAACCGTATGGGTGAAATCTCTCTTGGAGAATGTACAGAAAACTATAAGTCCTACTCCTCAACGTATCATTTGGTGTTATGGTCAATGGCAACCGTCCTATTTGATATGATGAGGATAATGCCTGGAATCGAGTTTAATGAAGGCATCCCCGACGATATCGACAATGCGGATTACGTGGACGTATCGCAACGGAATTTGTTCGTATTGGATGATCTTATGGCTCAATCTGGCAAAGATAAACGTATTTCTGATCTTTTTACGAAAGGAAGTCATCATCGAAATTTGTCTGTCATCTATATTGTCCAAAATATATTTCATCAGGGCAAAGAAATGAGAAATATTAGTCTAAACGCGCATTATATTGTATTGTTCAAGTCACCAAGAGACAAACAACAAATTTCTGTACTTGCAAGGCAAATAAATCCCGGCAAAGTACAAGAGTTTATGAGGAGTTATGAAGATGCTACGAGCCGGCCTCACGGATATTTGACGTTGGATTTAAAGCCGACAACGAGTGACCAAGATCGACTCAAGACAAACGTACTTCCCGGCGAGATTGCAAAGTTTTTACACAAACAGTCGTATCGTCAACCACCACTTGCAAACGCAATGTATGATGCCGAACAGAGAATGAAAGAAATCATGGATGCACCACAGCTTAGCGCAGTGGAAAAAAGCAAATTATACTCTGATCAACTAAATCGGTTTTTGACATTCAAAAATAAGATGTATGTTCCGACTCAAGCTCCTGTTCAGACAACTCCATTCGTGCCTGCAGAGATGCCACAACCCAATGAATCTGTCGAGATAGCACCACTAGTGCCTGCTACCCCTAAACCTAATTACCTTACACCACCACCAACAGAAGAGGAACGGCCAAAACTCAAGCGCAACTTTTTCCACAATTGGGTAGACTCTACAGATTGGAGGCCCCAAGATTTGGCAATGATGACCCCTGAACAAAGAGAAGGTTACGAACAAAGATTACTTCGCGAGAGGCCGAAATATATTCCAATGAAGAATGAAGAGGTTGCAAGGTTATCCCCAGAAGATAGACAAGAATATGAAAACTCTTTAAAAATAACAAAAACTCCTAGACGTTATGCTCTTAGAAGTAGACCGTACTAAATTTTGTAAAACGTTTTGAAGAAATAAATTTAAAAACTGAAATATTGTGTAATTTTTGCCGGCAAAGCCCGCTCTTTCCGCCCGCGCAATCCGCCCGCCTGATTAGTGTACAAATATGTTGTACGTTAATATATGCATGCACGCAAGCGTCGCTAATGACTTAGCAACACATAACAACGTATATAACGATTACATGTTTTTATCGCCAAATATATTACAACTGTTCCAATTCTAACTTATATTCTTGATAAGCTTACTTATGATCTGACTCGGTCATCTTAACAGTATATATGTATGTAGAATATTTGCTAAAATAACGTTGAACAACATGTAAATATTGACCTTAACAACGACGTTGACAACTCGGGATTAGGAACTGTTTAGTTTAAAATATGTCTAAAATATGTTTAAAATATGATTTTTGTGACGAATAGATTCCTTACTTGCCCTCGTTCGTTTTCGTTCATCATGCGGCAGTCATGGTGTCTTTGACTAGGATGACCGACTTGACAACTATTACAGGATTCCACACAAAGTCTTTCAACTTTTGGCTGCAAAGCGCTCCTGTCTTGTCTAAATCGCTTTCTCTCTTCCCGCACGGATAACCCGCGACGCCCGCGCAATGAATACCCTAATCTACCCGTATTTATCCACACAGTAGAAAAATGCAAATCTCTGATAAAGTTAATCCTTTAATTAGTGTCACCCTAACAACACATAGCAACCGGTGTGCTTTAATATAGCTTAAATTTATTAACCTTATCCGAGTTTAGTACTTTAAAAAACTAGCAATAAAATATAGAAATCGCTTGACAATTATATATCATAACCTCTAATTTCCATGTGTTTATATAACTCTAAACAGCAGCATATTCTCTCGTATATAGACCTCATATGGCAGACCGGGATTTAAATATTAGTTTAATTGTAGATACATAATAACTCTTACCGCATGCTATTTCTCAGCATTTTGACGCTTGATGATATTTATATATTACTTAACAACAAAACATATACCCCGAATATATAAATCACTTGACAATAACAGCAAAATGCTAGAGCTGTACTTATAAAACTCCAGACAACAACATATTCTCTTGTGTATAGCCCTAACTATTGTATCATACACGCGGAGAGACGCTAAAAAATGCTTAGTCAGCAAGTTTCGCCCGATCGTGTTTAAGCTCGCCCGCGTGACGTCATTGCATATAATTATGACGTATGTTAATGAGTGACGTCATTACTCCTCCTCACTCCTCACTCCTCCTCCTCATTTCTCCTCACTCCTTCTCCTCACTCCTCCACCACCACCACCACACGCCACCACCACACTCCACCACCACCACCACACGCCACCACCACACGCCACCACCACACGCCACCACCACCACACTCCACCACCACCACCACCGCAAAAATAAAGCCCGAACGGCCCCTATATTACTACTCTCCCCCAGCACTCCTTTGGGACCAGCTTTGAGAGATGCTTAAATTTGGGGAGAAATTTTGGGAGGGAGAGGGAGGAGGGGCAATTTGCGCAATACAATGTCCAGCTTAATTATGACAAATAAATTTAATTCTCAACACTTTGACAAACATTTAGAGATAAAAGGAGGAAAATGTTTTTACGGTGAAAATACAAAGTGTCCCACTTCCGCTTCTGTAGTTTGTTGTGATTCACTGTAATTTGTTCTGTTTTTTCTGTAGCGATTACCGAATACTGCGATAAAATTTAAATTTCGTACCTTTTATGCAATGAAACTCACGAAAAATGTATTATTTCCCTTTGCTACAAATTGTCATATTTAAAAATAGAGAAAACTAAGTTTTATCGCGGTATTTGCCGATAAATTGGTAATCGCTACAGAAAAAACTGAACAAATTACGGTAAATTACAACAAACTGCGGAAGTGGGACACTTTTTGTATTTTCACTGTAATGATATGTAAGGAAGCACATCTTGGTACTATTTACAATGTCTTGTTTATTGTTTTTGTAAGAATTATTAAGGACTGTTTCTTATTCAGCTAGCAAATTTGATTGTATGTCTGGGCAGAGACTTCAGATTTTAAATGCCCCCAGACCCCCCTTGCAGGACCCACCCAACAATTTTTTTGATCATGTTATACGATTGCCGCCCCCCTGCTATGCTACATGTCTCGTTAACAAGATCCATGCAGTGCAGATAGCATGATATTATAATCATATTAATGCATGTAAAGCTATTTTCCCTTCAACGACAATTAGTAAAATCATAGGATCGATTGAAGAATTACTCATTCATTGCATTTCTGTTTAAACACTAAACGAACATAAATGAGGGAGCTGCGGGTTTATTAAGGACATAATTACATCTTACATGTGTAGGCCTATAGATTTCCTTGGCATGGATCATGACCGCCTGGCCATCATGTGTGTGTTTGGAGCTGCTGCTGGATCCATCGTGCTTTTGATCTCTCGAAACATTTCAGGATATAGCAATGCTTGGGGAAAAGGTAGGAATGAGTTTTCATTCATGCCCAACAATTAGCAGGTAATTGACCATTTGTGTAATAGACGAAATTTTGATCTAAACAAGTCTAGACAAAAATTTCATCACAGCTTGAAAAAGCATCACAAAATTAGTAATATTCCAAAGTTTCGTTGCAAAATGTTGTAAAATGCGGATAATATAGCCTTGCGAAGGTTGCAATTTTCAGTCATTTTAGATTACAAACGGGAAACTGACAGCCTCAAAGCGTATCGGGCTGTCAGTTTCCCGTTTGTAATCTAAAATGACTGAAAATTGCAAACTTCACAAGGCTATATTATCCACATTTTACAACATCTCGCAACGAAACTTTGGAATATTATTAATTTTGTGATGCTCTTTCAAGCTGTGATGAAATTTTTGTCTAGATCAAAATTTAGTCTATTACGCAAATGGTCAATTGCTACCACATTTGGGCCGAAAATAAGCAATTTCCGCACGCAGTAAAAAAGTATACAAAATTTGCGAACTTTGCAAGGTTCTATTTTCCGCATTTTACAACATTTCGCGACCAAACTTTGCACTTTTACTCATTTTAGTATGCTCTTCCTAGCTGTGATGATTTATTTGCATCTCCTTGCCTAGTTTTAAAATTAGTCTATAATGGGAATTGTCTATTAACGGATCCGTTGCCGTTGGAGAAACGTTATCCATGCAAGCAATCTTACTGAAATATGTGTTCCTTCCAAGCAAGAAAATTCCGGATTTAGCGGAAAACTGTACAAGATCGTACAGCGGTACAAGCTTCAGTATGCACATGTTGGCGTGCTCTCTATGGGATGGGAAATTACGTAGTCACTCGCTGGGCCTGGGACTGGATGTCAAAGTTCAAAATTAACCAAGCTAACTAGGATGCCAAATCAAAAACAGGAAAAACAACTTGGTTTTTGAAGTTCTTGAAAGTCAAGTCAACAGACGGAAGGTTGACTATACCTAAGACTCAAAACAACTGCTTGGAAACCCAGTCAGCGAGAATGAAATGTGTTAGAACTTAAAAATGTTAGCATTAATACAATAATAGACGTTTCTGTTTTGGAAATATTGAATTAAAGTAAACCAAAATTTAAATAAATAAAATCACAAAATTTAATAGACCTTCCCCCTTATGAGTGAAATTTTGATCTAGACCAGTCTGGACAAAAATGACAAACGGGAAATTGACAGCCCCAAAGGGTATTGGTCTGTCAATTTCTCGCGTGTAATACAAAATGACTGAAAAACGGCAAACTTCGCAAGGCTATATTATCCGCATTTTACAACATTTCGCAACGAAACTTCGGAATATTACTAACTTTGTGATGCTTGTTCAAGCTGTGATGAAATTTTTGTCCAGGCTTGTCTAGATCAAAATTTCACTCATTCATAGAAAGGTCTATTCAAAGATTGTCTCGTATAAACTCTTGTTGTTTAGTATTCTAAACTCAGTTTATCAGCGTTCTCTCGACCATAGAAGTTTCAGATGATTTTACAAAACTTTTAAAAAAATACTTCGGAATATTTTTGTCAAACGTTTTGTGAAATCATGTAAATTATTGGCACGGACGGTCCCGGCCTGGTGTTTACTGAATACTGTTTATTAGAACCCGCGCGCTACCGAAGACTTGACTATAGCCTATTACATTAGAATTAAGGAAACATTCAATTATACACACTCTTGCCTGACATTTCTCATGCTATCTTTCCATGTATGAAAGTTAACTCTCATCTGCAATCTCGCATCATGCAATTTTTATTTTCGTTTGGCCATGCATGTACGCTTTATTAAAACATTCTAATTTAATTATCTTATAGCACTCCTTCTCTTTGGAACCTGCATTGAATATGCTTTCCTTTATTATCCCTACTTTGGATGTTTGGCATCATATCACAGAATAATTGGAGCATTGATGGGACTTCCTTATGCAGTAATTTTGTAAGTATAGGGCGAATTCACGATCGTAAGGAAGCGACGTTTTAGATTCACAAACGCCAACCGGAGGTAAATCGCAACGTTATAGATGGCGACAGCCGTTTTTATTTGAAATCATGAACGTGAAACTGCATTGATTGCCGTCACAAAATATATTGACCATGCAGAGAGCCGACGTCTTGGCCTCGCCTGTGATTTTCGCGCAACCGTTGCAATGCTGTCGCTATTCTCCTAGTTACGGCGCTTTTGAGAGGCATTCACCCCCCTGAAAGTATAGGAAATGGCGGTCGTTCAGGGGGGTGGGCGCTTATAGGCGCACTTACTAGAAACATGGCGAGTGCATTTTGATGACGAATCATGGTGTGATTATTTTACTTTTTTATTGTAGCTTTGTTCTGTTAATGACCACAGGTTTGCAAAAGTGTAATGTAAGTTATGAACGTAAATTCCATTTTATTGTAGCTACCTGCGCATGCAGATAATGTGTAGGATTCGAGTAACGATGTCATCATGATGTGGTTTGGAGACCCCCCGTGTTAGATTTATGATACGTTGCAGAAAAGCTCGACCTGGGGCAATACTTTGCATGCAAAATTTAATGTTCCAATTTATTAATATTTTTGTTAACGTTTAGAAATGATAAACGTGAAACGATTAATTTTTTAAAAACTCTTTAAATCAGTCTTTACAGCTCGCAATCCAAGTAAGAATGATAGGCAGATAAAGCTAACTCGGATATCTACCCATGTTTAACTATAGTTTCATTGTTATAGTTATGAATAGGTCAAACATAGTGGTTTCGACGATAATTAATAAACCATACTGACTTCCGATCTCTACGGGTTTGGCAAGCAAATAATGAAAGTCTGTGATAGATCGAGTCTTCCTTTGTTAAGACAATAGTAGCTTTCGGGTTGGCTTAACATGCATAGACATTTTAAATCTATAATTTTTAGGTCTAGTGCGCAATGAGTATCGTCCATTAACAATAATTTGTAATTTTCCATTTAAAAGTTGAAAATTTTCAACCTCAAAAGTTTTTTTCGACTGAAAATTTGTGTCGGTTAATCATTTTTTTCAAAACTTTCTTACTGCGGAACATTTTCCTGTGTGGAAATGGGCCTTAAGAATCTTGAATTTTCGCACCCTGATATACTACTGTTTTAGGCTGGTTGTATAAAAACGTAGTAAAGTCAATTATAGTTACAAAATTCCCTCCTGTTAGACATGAATCTATGTCCAGGATAAAGGTTGATTAACGACCGCTGACGAACATTTTGAACATGATTATGGACTCGTTACTAGTTACGCCCAAATGCAAACCAGGCTTTAGTCCACCCTCTTAACTCTTGGTGTATTTCAATCATTAGGGTTATACGACGACGCATGAATATGCTAGAATAATATTATCTAATATACCAGTGATATTATGTCATCTGTTTATTCTGTGGAAGTTTACACTCGTACTTTATAAGGAAATCAAAGAGTACGGAACATGCGGAATACAATGCTTATTTCGCAAGGTAAGTTCTGGCTCCCCACGACCGCAAATCCTCACCTGCATATTCATGCATAGACCTTTATTACATTTTGAGTAAATTTCAATTTGATGTTAGCATGCACGCTATAAGTACCAGAAATAAAGAGAGCGGGTCAGTATATTAGGAAGTATAGAAAGTTTGATGGCTATATTTTAAAGATTGTGGCACTAGCGTCGTTTAAAAAAAAAAAAAAATAGAGAATGTATGGGAATTTTGCTTCAAGCATGCGCTTGTCCGTCAAGCCTCCACCACCCACAAATTACGATATATTTTCTAATAAAATTTGTTTTTATACACAGGGCCACAGTTTTCAAAATGAAATTCGCTCTTTTCATTTCTGGCATTATAGAATGCTAACATCAAATTCTATAAATCGAATGAAAAGGCGTGGTAAAGGTCGATTGCATGGCATCATGAATTTTTGCTTTGACGTATTTAAAATGTATTGGCCATTTGGGCCTCAAATTGTAAGTTTCTTTGGTCTCGTAATAATGGATTTTTTTTTTCTTTAAATGTAACCGACATTGTTAACCCAGTAAGTTGAATTCATTCATTCACGAAAGTCTTTAAGATTTGAGCAATAAAATAATTATCACTTATTTACTGCATGAGACCGAAGGAAACAGCGTGTTTTGTGGCCCCTCGACCGCCGTTGTTACCCGAAGCTGAGGGCAACACCGGCGGTCAAAACACGCTGTTTTCCCGAGGTCTTAGTAAATAAGTGTTTTATTATACAGCTGATTCAATTAAGGTTGTCTTTCCAAAACCTTAAACTCTGAGCGCGCAAGGGATGATGGGTTTCCACCTATTAGGCCCTTAAACTCAGAAAACTGCCTAGTCCACTCGTCAGCTTCGGAATGGCTAATTGAATTAGCTGCATAGCAAGTATCAAAGTTTCAAAAATTCACTTGGTATTCCGAAACTGTAATGAACCGTCCGGCAGACATTGAAAGAAGTTTGCTTTGAACTTGCTGGTTGACGCGAGCAGCTCGCGCCTCACTTTCGGTTTTATTATTGACCGGTCAATGATTGTTGACCGATTGCCCCCTCGCCAAAGCATGGAGGGAGCATGACGTTTTGTGGACCGGCACGTGAACGGTTTTGTGCAATCGGCAAACTGGAAATTGAACTTTGACACTTGCTATATAATAATTCAAAAATTTCATTCAAATCTTATTTGCTCGTCTGTGCAGTCACCTTTGTACACAGACGAGCAAATAAGATTTGAATGAAATTTTTGAATCTGGACGTAGCCAAGGTCTATATAATAATATCACTTGAAAGGTAGGCCTACTAAAAGTGACTATATGTGCCTGTAATGACCATATCTAGGATGAACAGTCAGAAGTGCAAGTGAAGTTGGTCAAACCTTGGTTGAAGGATTACGTTAAGGACCTCATTAATAAACCAAAGTAAGGATGATAGAAAGAGAGTGGATAAAAAGAGAGATAAATTTGAACAGTCTGTGCCAGTGTAAGGTGGTGCCAATAATTTGAAAGCTTTGGATTGCTATAGGGATACAATTACCTGAAAAATACAAGGAGAACTGAAAATGCAAGAAGTTTCCTGGATAAAAAGAGTAGCGTTCAGCACTGATCTAGGTGGATTGAGGATGCTGCATGTTGAATTCAATAAGTAAATTTTGAAGCCAGAATATTTTTAATAAGGAGACATTTTTAAATCTAGGACCCTTCACAAATCGAATCGTTGCGCGTTGAAGTTATACTTGCTATATAAAACAAATGTTGCTTGCCATTTGAAAGACACAACTTGTCTATTCTGACAACATGTCTATTTTTTACTAACAAGGATATACCATTCAGTTGTCACACATGTCCTTTATCACTTCTGCATGTGAAATTAGTTTGATAGCTGCTCCTGACAAATTGGAAAGTGATCAAGATGGTGACTCTGAGTGATTTACATATTGGATTGACATATGATTGTTGACGTTGCTTTTTAGTCCTCAATATATGAGTGAGTCATGCTTTGGAAATGACAGGATTTTGTTTATTACCGCAACCCAGGAGTTGTTTTGTTTTTCATTACCCAACCTTTTACTCACTCAAAATATTGTTTACCCAACCCTTTTCTCTTTGGTGCCAACCCCCCTCCCACAGCACACCGATAGAGTTTTAGGGGTCACTTGGTTAATATATACTGTAGCTACATTAGCCGAATTCATATTAGGGACGGGAAACTCGTCTGTCAAAACCCGTCTGAATATGAATTTAGGGACGGATAAATTCGAATTTAAGACGAGTTTCCCGTCTAGATGGGATTCCCGTCCAACTTTCCCGTCTGTTTGGACGGGTAAGTTAGACGGGAAAGTTCAGACGGGAAACTCGTCTGCCCTCGGATTCATATTAGACGAGTTTCCCGTGTAAGACGAGTTTCCCGTCTCTAATATGAATTCGGCTAGTATCCAATACTAGTTTTCAGAAAACCAAATAGTACGAATCAAACATTTCGCTTCATTTGTAGACCTCCCCGCCATCATTCAAGATTGGATTTCTTCTTAAGGAAAATTTACAATCCCGAGAAAAGTAAGTGTTGCGGACCGAGCCCGTACGTAGAGCGAGGGTGAAAGGCACGTGCAATAACCAATATGCCATCAAACTATAACTGTCTTCATTAGACTGGTTATTTAAGTTTTTTTAACTCTATTCAGTTCAAAAGGATGACAACCAAGTTCAATGTTTTCCCTTTTTTGTATAGATTTTAAGTTCTCAACACAAACTCTTTCCGTGGTCATGATCTGCTCTATTATACTTTACGATGTGAGTCATACAATATTTAAATCGATTTTTTTTAATTTATAGAATAAAATATATCCATATGGCATGCATATATATAGACAAACGAACTAATAAATTTACGAGGAAATCATCTAAAACTCAAGTGAACTGATTTCAAAAATTCGGAACGAGAAATTCGCCACATAAACCTTTTACTTAACTTGTATGTTGTCCATATATAAACTTGCCATCCCGCCTATATATAGGGCAAGTTTTCCCGCCTAGCTGCGATGTTTGTTAGCTAGCTAGCGCCCTATATAATGTATAATCATGCCGATCAGGTTTATGTTTCCTTGTAGATCTCGTTATCATTCGTGTATCTGGGAAGTCTATTGCTGGACAAACTTAATAACCGTCCTCCCGACAATGCTTTACCAAAAGCTTTAGTCAAAATTCTACGTGATATGGTTGGTTAGTTTATACTTCATATTTTATTACATTTTCTTTAAAGAACCAAGAACATAAGCAACAAAATTTATGTTTATCTAGTTCATATGCATGCAAAATTTTGTTTCTTTATATAGTTGAAAACAACTTTTAAAACTGCAGTATATCGATTTTGCAGCTTTTTCAACTTTTCGTTTCCATGCAAGAACGTCGCGGCTTCGTATCTCCGTTTGAGTTTCTCAAAATGTCCTCTGCTCATTATAATAAAGTAAACATGTTCAGCATTACCGATACGAAGTCTGTCGCTCCTTCGAAAGCAAAAAACATTTTAAATCGTTCATAAGTCATTTTACACTTGCAAGTTTTCAACTTATAAGAATTAATGATACCAATGAAAGATCTAAGCTTCCTGGAAACAAGAATATAATATTTTGATTTTAAGGCGCCATCTTGGATTTTTAGCGTTTCAACGCGAAAACGCTTGTCCGAAAACCTTTTTTAGCATTGAAAACGTTTGAAAGACGTCGTTTTCTACCGTTTTCGTGTGGACACGGCCTGAAAACGACACTTTTTGAAATATATACGTATATACGGCCTGGTGTATATATATATAACAGCACGAGATTTGATTCTCGGATTTACTTTTAGAAAATTATTTTTGAGTATGCGTTTTTTGTGTACATCTATGCAGGGTGTATAAAAGAAAAGGTTAATAGTCCGTGTGTTGTGACCTCGAAAAGTGCCTAGAAAACGATTTTCATTTAGCATGTCTTGGATCTGAACACTTTCGAACACGCTGAGTTTAAATCCGAAACGTTCCCGCTCCGTAGACCCGCAGTTTTCTCACAAACTGCAATTTTATCTTTACTAATTTCACAGCAAATTTTTTCATTGTTCAACGACACGGATCGATGACGATACACGATAATTCACACAAAAGGATCAATTTCTATTAACCAGTCTTCCTTTTAACAAAAGACCGGTTTTGCTTCAATCATTTTGAGTTATGTAATATTATGCGTGTTGGACGTAAACAGCATATCTTGTCTACAACTTTGAGCAGGTACAGATAACGCTTTTTATAAAATCCTCAGTTTTAGCGATATCTCTATAAAATCGCAATGAAGTTAATGCGAAGTCTTTTGGCTATATCACTGGCCTGAGAAATAACTCTTTTAACGCGGTTAAGGTATTTAAAACAAAAGTAACGCGAAGCCTGTGAAATATTGTCGATCGGTTGCTGGTAAAAGACTTTACGACAGGATCAATCTTACATAACCTTAAACTAGAAGAATAAATGTTCACATCAAAGACAAAGATCAGTCCCAAAGTATAACATCTGATCTGTAAACTTACGACGAAGTGGAGAAATGTGTGCATGAGCTGTTTATTTGGTGATTTCAGCGTATATGGAAGCCCTCTTTCGAAAAGGTTTGCAAAGGAGGGGTCGGAAAGTGGCTCTCAAAGCCTGCCCCCCCCAACTTTTCTAAGCTTCCTACGCCCCTGACTAACAAGCTATCATGCATTGTAAATAATGAAAAGCTGCATGGCCGAGCATTATAGCCAATGTCCGAGCGACTGCACACTTTAGCAGACATTTGTCAGACCAAGCAAAATTGTTATAATCTACCGACACTGGTTGTTATGAATGCCTTCACAAAACGCAACATATATTACTCAATGTTGCCCAGGCGGGCTTATAGATTTTATAACGTTTTCTCGTTTAGGTTTGTTGGTCGCTGCTGCTATTTTTGCTGCCATATTTTGTGTTATCTCTCTTATACGTTTCCTGGAAAACCATAAGTATGTTTAAATGCCCGCACAAGCCAACATGTTTTCCTTGACAACTTTTCCTTGACAAGTTTTTGTGAAATTTCCCTGACATAATCTTCGTACTCATATACCCAGGCCTTTTTGTTCCTTGGAAAGGCATCCTTGTTTTCAGGGCTTTTCAATAGGGCGATTGTTAAAGGGGCATTAAGAGATGGAAACTTTGCAAAATATTGGGGATTTTGGGATGGGTTTGGATGATGCAAATCCTATAGTTGCGCTTTAAATGTTTCTGTTTTGAATTTCATGCATAGTTGATTATGAATATTTCTGTGTTATAAACACCTGGGGCCACTTTTAACCTGTGGTTCCACACAATTGTAAGCTTTCTTTTTATATTTTATCTATAGGAACAACATGCTCAGGATGTTCAAAGGAGATAAATCTTTTATTCCTCCGACGATTAGTGTGTCACAGTTCATGATTGTAAGTTAAAAGAAAAGGAAAAATTGTCAATTTTTTGCCGAACACGCGTTATAGGCGCATCTGCATGGTTATTGCGAAATATCAAGGCTATTAATATATTGAGCTCTGAATGGACGAGCATGTTTTTACTGTTTAAAAACAAGCATAAACAGCTAGCTTTCACACAAAGAAACTTGTTATGGAAAGTTTTCTGTCGTATACGTAAGTAAATAAAACATGGCCGTAACCAGTTCAAAGTAATCCACTTTCGTGAAAACTGACTTGAATATTTAACTGTTTTGTTATATGCATGCACAAGGTCTGAATTTACAGACTTTGCTTTTCGGATATTTTCAGTATTTTTCTATTTTTGTTTATGTTTTTATCTTCGCTCTTTCGGCCGATTATGTTTTCAAAAAGTATATGTTTTTGACCATTTTAAATTTTAAAAATTCATTTGCTAACCTGTAAACAATTTGTGTGAGTTTTTCATTGTGTTTTTAATCTTGTAAAGGCTATAAAAAGCGAACAACTTGCCGTTTTCTCGGAAATTCAGTTTGAGCCGCCATTTTGTTTTTCTCTACTAGCAGGATATGAGCTAATATTTTGCCAGTAGAGAACCAATCACTAATCAGATTGCAGAGTACCTCATAACCTACCTCCTCCGCAGGCCTTTCAAAAAGATAAAATTGGTTGGAAAATCGTCTCAAATTTCAACCTGCGAACGGGCATCCTCATTACGAGCTGTATGGCCTGCGGAGGAGGTAGCCTCATAACCAGACCTTGTGTATATAATCAAGTAATAATGTTTGTTTTCCTAGGGGAAAGGACTAAGATACCATAGTTTTCAGATTGGCTACTTTTTGTGGGGTAGGTGTTCCTTGATTATATGCCACTTATATCCCAAATATGATTCTTGTTTAGTATGAATAATATGTAGTAAAAAACCCTGTCAAAATTGCCGGATATGATGTGAAATGAGTGAATTTTGGGAGGCAAAATAAAAGAAAAAATATTTTACATTTTATATATAATGACATCATATCTGGTTTGACAATGAAAAAGTTTACCAAGATCAGCTTTTTACATATACCAAAAGTCATATATTTACGCGAGTGAGATCAATGGGAGGTCCACCTCACCCAAAGTCACGAACTCGTGATTATTGATGGACTTTTTACTCTCCTAGACTTCCTCAGCTCATCGTTCTTCATTAACCTGGGGCCGAGCGGAATCAGGGATCTATCAAAAGAACAGGCAGGGGAGGATAGGATTAACATGACATCAACTGAAATGTATGCATTTGGTGCCCAACCCTCCGTCATTTTAGGTGTAGCGAGATTTTAACACCTTTGTTCTATCTTTTCAGGTTACATGTTGCTCTTGTTCCTGTTTTGGGTCATCTTCATGGTTTTTTACAGTTTGTCGTTTCGCATCGTTTCCTGATTGGGTTGTGGGTTGGTTAGGAGGAGGAGGGTGGGTGAAGCCTTGTCTTCGTATTAGAGACCTTATAATAAGTCTCTTTTTTTCTCTTCGCTGTTTAACCCATTGAGCACGACCTTCCTCCCTTCACGAGTAAAATCGTCAGGCGTTAGACAGAGTAAAGTAACAACGTAGGGCGGATTAGGGCCCAATGGAGCTTAGTGGGTTAATATTTTTGCAAGAGTAACCACAATTGTGGACATAACCTGTTAATAAAATTTTAATTTGCCACTGTGTGAGAGTTTAAAATGTAATTTGTTTTCTGTATTTTGCCTAAAACATCCCCCTTCCCCCAACACAATAGAGAGTTTAAGCTTTACGTTTCGGGGAGCGACAAACGGCAGGTTCGAACAATCTTGGCAAAATTTTCGTTGAACGTTTTCGTTTCATATTTCCTTTCTTGTGTCGAAAGAATAAATCATACATTGCAGTTTTAAAAAAGCAAGTTCATTTACTCTTTATTGCCTGATACGTAATCTTCGCCTGGCGTTTGCCGTTTGACGCATAACGCGAAGCTTAAGCTCTCTAATGTTGTTGAATTACGTTGAAAATGTGGGGAAAATATAATGGCAGCATTGGGTGGGGGAGAGGGGGGGGGGACCTAATGAAGTAATTCGAATGTATTTTTCTAAAATTGCGATCTATTTTATTAACAGTTTTGTCCACGATTGACTAGGTTGATTCTGCCTGCTAACTTCAGAACGACAGGGATTAGGCTGTCTAGCCCTAGGCAAATGATACCGGAATTATTTTTCCAGATCCGTTGTCCATGACATCGGGTCCATGACACAGGTCAACTACACCTATTGATCCATGTTACAATTATTCTAGCAAGCCATTTTGCTTCCTAAGGGTCTGTTCGTATGAGCCCGGTTTACCGAGAAGCTCACCTGGGATGAATTTATTCTGTGTTCATATGACTGTTTTTATCCTACCTAATACCTCGCCTTGGTGGGACGAAATTATGTAAAAATGGCGCAATATTTTTGTTTTATTAGAGACCTTACGATTTTAGGACGGCAACGCGACGGCGACGGCCAAAACAAACTCCTTCAAATAAATGGTAGTAAAGATAGTTGGTCGTATATTATCAATCGTATGAATTTAATACAGTCTTAGAAGTTGAAGACATGGGTTTTATGGTTGCACTTGTTGTGGCTTGGAATGCAGCCGTTGTATCAAGACGCGAAAATTTGTGATTTGGCATTGTGAACAGAGTGAGGACACTGATGTCTAAATTATTCATATATTGTAAATACTCAATTCTTTTCAATGAACTATTGTATACTATTGGTAGCCGTTGCCGTCGCGTTGCCGTCCTAAAATCGTAAGGTCTATACTAATCCTTGTATGACGACTTTAATAGTCTGTTTAGGTCCGTTAATGTTTACAATTTGTTTGTATTCTTCAAACTATGCTGTTCAATACTATATTATTATAGGTAAAATCGGCAAAATATGTCCATCCCGGCCAGGTGGAATAAAGCTTTCATATGGGAAATTTTATCCCATATGACTATTATCCCAAATTTTATCGCATATTTTATTCCATGAGATCTCACCCAGCACATATTTAGAGATCTCACCTAGCCGAGCGCCATCGTTTCTCATGAACACAATGGGTGATTCCAGCAATAGGCTAAATTTTGATCTCGGCAAGAAGAACAAAATCCATCACCACAGCTAGAAAGAGCATGTTAAAATTAGTAAAATTGCAAAGTTTGGTTGCGGAATGTTGTAAAATGCGGAAAATATAGCCCTACGAAATTTGCAAATTTTGTATTAATTTGTATTACGCACGGGAAAATGCACCACTTTCGGCCCAAATGTGGTGCATTTTTCCGTGCGTAATACAAATTATTACAAAATTTACAACATTTCGCGGCCAAATTTTGCAATTTTACTAAGGGGCCATTCACAAAGGATGTCCGGCCAGATGATGGATTTTCAGACCCCCCTCCCCCCTTGTCCGGCATTGTCCGAATTAGTGACCCTCCCCCTCCCCTCGGACATCCACCATGCCTCGCAAAAACTCACACAACCTTGTATATGTCAAGAGTAAAAAACTTTTTTTACTTTTAGAACTTTTTTATAACTATAAATGTGAATACAAAAGCATATAAATTACTAATTAAAACAAAATCTAGTGTTAACCGCACAGTCAAAATGCGAATTTCACAATGAGAAGGACTGCTCAAAATAGAGGGAAAAAGAAATTTGTTTTTGAATTTTTTAAAATTTCGGACATCCGGATTGCTAAAAACCCCTTCCCCCCCTATGTCCGAGTTTGTCCTGATTCTCCAACCCCTTGGCTCGGACATCCTTTGTGAATGGCCCCTAATTTTAACATGCTCTTTCTAGCTGTAGTGATGGATTTTGTTCTTGCCGAGATCAAAATTTAGACTATATATAGCTCGAATCATCTATTGAATTTCGTATACGTTGACAAAGGCCACTCAGGTGAGTTTCCAGGTTAGCTGGGCTCGTATGAACGCTCGCACTAAATGTTATTCATCTAAAAAAATGTTGCTTCTTCACATTTTATTTCAGTGTTCTCATGGCCGTGGCTCTTCTTACCTACTTGTGTCTGCTTATAACCGCGGCGACAATATTCCGTGATTACGACTTTCCTAAAAACGCCATATCTATAAATAACAGGTATGTGTGTACTTTACTGTGTATAGATTCTCACTGGAACGTGGGATCACTCCAAATATCCCGTACACCTCGAAATAAAATCCCTTAAAAGCCCCCTAAAACTGACCTTAAAATCCATTAATTAAACCCCGAAAAAGTCTTAACAAATACTCCGCAGTGTCAGAATAGATATGAAACTAGCATCTCAGGAGCACCACAAAATTTTTGATTGCAGTGAATCATATTCGTATGCCCTATCACTGCACATTCAGACAGATTGTCCCCTAGCTTAATCAAGTTCGTTTTTTTTCCCAGAAACGTCTACTTGGTGTTCTCGTATTTCTGGTTTTTCGTTGGTCTTCCCATGGGTGTCTTCTCCGCCATATCTCGGATCCTGAGGACAATGGCTGTGGGAGCTCTGATGTTGCCAAGAATTGATCACAGTGTTATGCCCGATGGCTTTCAACGGTTTGATCGAGGTAACCAACTTGCATAAGTGACATTAAGTGTACGGGGCTGAATTTAACATATGCTTTGAAAGCTCTGCCTGAATTTTCTGGATTTGTCGTATAGCATTTGCCCGCGTTTCAGGGTTTTGTAAAGTTTGGAGGGGGCAGTTGTGCCCCCGCTGTCTCATACGCTTATGCCAACTTGTAACGGTCATGGCTAAAAGGGGTGGACGAGGGGGCGGTTTTCAAGATAGTTCAGAATTTAATCACAGATCAGTTTGCTTGAGTTCAAGGTTAATGTTTGGGTTAGGACTGGGGTTAGGTCAGTGACAGACAATGGGAGATACGATCCATAGTTTAGCTCGGGAAAACGATATGAAAATGTTTACGACCTTCATAGAATTTGGAAGTCAATTTCCGCCATATTGGCTTTGCTTTTCTCGACTGACGTTTTCGCTCCAAATATATAAAGCTTACTGGTTTCAGCAAGCATTTGCTTGACTTGCTTTGTCTATTGTTTTCTGTCAGTGTTTATATGTATTGATCTACCCACAGTGTAAATAACACGAGATCCATTATAGTAAATAATACAGAAAGAAATTGAAGGAAAACAATTAAAGCAAGTCTTGCATTTTCGGTTCAGTTTTGAACCGAGATTTTCCGAATTTGCTTGACTTGCAAGACTTTCTTTAATTGTTTTCTGTCAGTGTTTATATGTATTGATCTAGCGCAGTGTAAATAACACGAGATCCATTATAGTAAATAATACAGAAAGAAATTGAAGGAAAACAATTAAGCAAGTCTTGCATTTTCGGTTCAGTTTTGAACAGAGATTTTCCGAAGTTGACAAGTTTCTCTTTCTCGCTCCGCCCCTCCGTACTACGTCATGTAATTTACACTATAGTGGATCGGTACTACATGACAATGAAAGAGAGACTTGGCGCAAGTCTAACTGTTAAGACACCGATTGTAAAACTATAGTCGATACGGCAGGCTACAGTCTATATAACATTTTTTGTTATTTTGAAAGGTTTCAATGCGTACATCTGTTATCTTCACGTGCAAACAGCTTATAGAAACCCAGTCCTTCGAGTTTTCTGTCAGATATTGAGTGACGAAACACGTAAGTTTTGACAATTTCTTTACAGTATAGGGTGCGAATAAACCTCATGAATTGTTCATAAATTTTACAAACCTTTTTTACAACCATAAATTGGTCGACTTCAATCGTATTATCTGCGCCCGGCGTAAGATTTCTCCACATGTTATTTACAGCAAATCTTCACATAAGTCCTTGCCTCCAAAAAACCAGCCCTCTCGCTCCAATAACCTCGCTTTTGGGTTTGCAACGTACCTATGCGAACAGACTTTGTGATTGTTTGATTATGGCAATAAAAGACAACAAATGAATAAAAATCATCTTTCTAAAGTAAGGGAGTTATAAACACTTTTGTTTTACCCCACCTGCAGTTTTCACGGCATAATCATTTAATTAAATACCGAATTGCCCCTATTTAGCCCGGGCATTGGATGCATTTTCATCTGCGTTGGTATGTGTGTCCGTGTGTTTGTCAGCATGATATGATAACTTAGAAAAGATCAAACGTATTATATACGAAACTTTGTGGGACTAATGCACATTGTCCAAGGACAAATTGATCAAATGTTTGTTAAATTTGGGTGGAAATTATTGGAAATTAGCATAAATTTGCCTTGCTTTGCCGGGCACAGGAAACTGTAATTAGGCCATCGTATAATTTATGCATGATACATAACTTCTTTTGCTGGCGAAGCTATAGTCATAAGATGTACTACTCATGTAATGTTATTTAGTCATATATTTATTATTAGAGGATGTGAGCTAAATAAAGGGAGAGGGGGGGGGGGGCTTGTTTCTTTTCAGCGCTTCTAAACTGGGCCCAATTAAAAAGGGGGGTGCTAAAAAGGGCTAAATAGAGGAAATATGGTCATATGAGGGATGTTTATGAGAGTTATGAATACTAATTCAGAAGCAGGACGATTATTAGAATCAAAACGCATTGCATCACTATAGATTTACGCCGTAAATGCTAATGAAGCGTGAGATTGTCCCCATGGGCAGTGAATTCTATATAATAAAGTAAACAAATAAATTGTTAAATGCCCATTGTTAAATGCCCATGAAGATCGGCCTCTCATATTTTAACTACAACTTAAAACACGAGCAGGAGTGATTTATCAGATATATAACACGAAAGCGCAGCTCGAGTGTTTTATATCTGATAAAGCACGGACTGCATGCGAGTGTTTTAAATGGCTTAAAAAACGACGACTCCTACCTGATGAGGTTATTGGCGACGTAATTTTAAAAATAAACGTTGTCTAAGCCGAGAAAATCAAAGCTAAAATTTATGTAAATTAACATGCGTTTTTATGTACTGTTTAATAAACGAGCAGGAGTGTTTTATTAGGTTTAAAGACACGAGCGCGCAGCGCGAGTGCCTTTAGACCTAATAAAACATGACCTGCGAGTTTATTAAACGGCTTCAAACACGACTACAAATTCAATAGATATACCGCCTTATTAGTATTCTTTATACAGTATAAAAAATACTAATGAGGACACGACAACAATAGATACTGCCTTATTAGTACTAGTTAGGAGTGTTTTATCAGGTTTAAAGCCACTGCACGTGACATATTACGGTTGACATGATTTGCCAATAAGCTTCTGAATTATTAATGAGTGTTTGAAGACATATAAAACCACCGACACGGCAATGATTTCCTTTGTCTTTTCCTCATGAATTATTAATGAGTTTTTTAATGTATGAAAGGACACAACAAGGAACGAAAATGGGCATGTTCTGCTCAAGCTTGTGCCAGATGGTTCCTTGCCCTTACTTTGGCCCGCAACCCACAACTAGCGTCGGACCGTAAACCTGGTGGTGTTAAAGCACCTCAACCTGTTCAAGGCGGTTGTGTCGAACATGGCGACGTCAAAATTGAAGTTGGTCGGTATGGGTTAATACAAGATAAGTGAATGATATACATCAATACAGTAAAAACCCACATACAGTAAAAGAATAACTATTTTTTATATCAGGGTGAAGTTCTTTTATGATAGTAGCCTGCGCACATTCTCATGACATCGATCAAACGTTGTAAGAGACTGCGCAACAATGAAGCAAAGCTTGCGGGAGAAAAATAATTTTCGCAAGAAAATTAGTACGTTGATTATGCGGAAACGTTCATATGCATGTCAACAGATAGCTTAAGATCTACGACGTCGATGTCAGCTAGGACGTCGGGGCTGAGCAGAGGACTGGGACTAAATAAGTCGATAGCTCAAGTATCTACGACGTCAAATATTTAGAGCGGCAAGGAGAAGTAAATTGGTAATAGTTTTTGAAGTGTGCATGTGTCTCTCTCAATTTTCGAGCCCATCACTCTTGTGAATCTACTCTAATTAGTCTAATATTGATCTGTGAACACCTTCTCGATAACATTGAGCAAGGTTTAATTAATGGTATAGCTCTAATTGACCTCTCCAAAGCGTTTGACCTGGTCGATCATAGATTGCTACTGCAGAAATTAGAACAATATGGCATTACTCCAATAGCTTTAAAATGGTTTAAATCGTATCTAAATGATCGTTACCAAGTAGTAAAATTGCATCATCCCTATCCAACCCAGCTCTGATAAAGTCTGGTGTGCCTCAAGGATCTATACTAGGACCAATTCTCTTTCTTATCTTTATTAACGATTTACCCAGTTACGTTGGAAGTTCTAAGCCTTTTTTATTTGCCGATGACTCTACACTAATATCCTCCGGATCGGATCTTCACGTCTCTTTTAAATTCATTTTCAAAAGGATGTAAATAGTTATAGTTTAAATGTCGACGTCGTGAATCTTAAGTGGAAGTTTATTTATTTAGGACGACGTCCTAGTCCTAGTCCTTTGCTTAGCCCTGACGTCCTAACTGACGTCGACGTCGTAGATCTTAAACTATCTATTGTCAACATGGCGCTTCACAGTCAGGAATGCGGGTTCGACCAAGGTTCGACCCACATAGGTTTTTAGAAACAATTAACATGGCTTGCTTTTTTCTACAAGTGAATATATTGGCGGGATGTATACATGCGACGGATCATGTATAAATATTTGTTTGTCAGTGCGGCATATATTGGGACAACAAAATACTCCAATTTGTGACTCCGTTATTACCAACGACAATATGATCTGTTGCTTTTGATAATAATTCCCAACAAATAACTCTGGAATCTCCAGACATTTTGGATGCCTTGACACACAAAAGGCTAATTAGATATTTCGATTTTGCCAATGAAACTATAATTATGCATATATTTTCTAAATAATTTCACTTTCGCGGGGCAGGCTTTGCTTTATTATATATTGCTATATTTGCATTAGAATAACAATATAACTCATTATGATGTTAGTCAACGTTTATTCATAAATCTGGTCGTTTCACCCTCACGTGTGTATTGTATTTTTACCAAATCCACCAATAGCAATTTCCAGTTTCCCTATTGTTCGAGTCACGGATAGGTGACTTTCCTAAAACATTGCTATTGGTTAGTTGGGCAAGAATACAATACACACGTGACGGTAAAGGACCAGATTTATGAATAAACGTTGAACAACATAGATAATCAGTTATATTGTTATTCTAATGAGTTTCACAGCCATCTTCCCTTCGATAGGCTATGCTTGAATTCTTCTTGCTTTAGTTTGTGGATATTTTCTGAAATTGCACCTGGTTCCTGGACATTTCTAGCAACTTCCAGAGCCCGTCTAGGTTTTCCATGCCCGACAAAATCTTGTTTTTCAAGCTCTCTGAAAAGATCCAAAGGTTTTCGCAGCTTCTCGATTGTCGCAGCTTCGATTTCATGGCGTTGCGTTAACATACTTCAGGTTGTCGAAGAGATATATATGTTATTTACCGGCTGCGAGGTCCGGATGAGAAAAACTGTGCCCGAAGTCTTGAAAACGTCCCTCGCCCACGGACCGACGCTGCCGGTAAATAACGTGTTTATTTTTTATCAGATGTAAAAATTAAATTCATTAAAATTCCAGTGTTGCTTGCGAACTAATTTGAGATCAGTGCAATTGTGTATTTTGAAAGCGAGGCTGACAAAAATTGAAAAGTTGAAACTTGAAAAATATAAAACAAGAATACGAAAACTCGAGAAAACTGGCAAGAAACACAAAAAGACGTGTAGTTTCAGTAACAATTTACAGGCTTTTTTCATGAATATGGTAGCAGAAAGGCTTTGGAATATAAAAAGTTGTAAGCCAGGCGTTTTGGCTTTGACAATTTCAGTTGCTTCTGACAAGTGACAACGACAGGTTCAAGTTCATGTTCAGATCCGACTCAAAAACACATAAAATGAATCTGCTTTGATTTAATCAACGTTTTTCAACTAAAAGGACAATGAAAAAGGTATGTTATTTTTATATTTTTGTATTTTTTCTGGTCGTTTCACGATAATATGCTTGAAAAAAAGTGTTTTTAAACACAGACTTTTACGTTGTTTACAATATTTTTATCAGTGAAAAATGCCTGCCACAAATGGTAGAGAATATATTCGTGACTTGTTTTCACTGCTGCAGTTAAACTTTTTTTAAATGGGAAAACATTTATTTTACAATATTTGTTTAAGCTGTAATTTTTTCGCTTCTAAGTGGCCAATTGGCCGAATACATGAGCATTTAAATAAAAAATATATAGTTTTCTCGGCGTACTTTTTGTACATGTCAAATAACTTTACGACTTTCAGTCGCATTTCTTTCAAAATATTGTCAATTTTGGTGTACATTGTGCTTAGTATGAAGTCTTTAGGGCTTGATGCAATTCATTTTCGTATTTTGACTATCGCTAGGCTACGTTTTTCCAACGTTTTGGTCAGATTTTTTCGTTTAAAAAATTTTTCACTCCTAATATTTTGCCGCGAAAACCATAGGTCTCCCGAAAAGGTCTTTTATTTTAAAAAAATCCATACAATTTGCTTTAAAATACAATGCTTTGACATGCACAACCTCGTTCCCAGGCTCTTTGCTCTTGGGAAGCAAAGACCCTGGTCGGGGCTGATGACGTCACACCCAGATTCTGGGGGTAAACGTATAATTTGACTATGGGTCGGGAGGTAGAGGAGCGTGTTTGTTGCGTTTGGAAAATTGCAACTTTATGTGTTATAATTTCGGGTGATAAAATGTAATTTGCAACAAGAGATTGTGAAAGGAACGTTCTAGATTCGTACCGATCATGACAAAGACTTCCTGCTGTACTGAATGTCATCAACAATAAGTGTTGCGTTACATTTCAAGCGAGAAGCTGGATCATATTTCACTTGGAAGGAAAACACTCCACACGCGCCTGGCTTGCGAAGTTTAGCACGTATCGCCGTAGAACACAGACTGATCGATCAAACGGTATTAAACGAACGATATGGTTCTTTATAGTTGGAGTGTATCCTGTCCGATATTCAAAACAAAAGATTTATTTTATAACGGGATCCTTTGATTTCCCAAACATCGCCAACATGTGTAAACAATAGTGCTATTTTGACTGTAAAAGCACAGGATTAAAACCCGTTATGGACTGGCTATAAAATTCATTTCATTTACATTGCTGAAACTCAACAATCAAGAAAGATAATGTCGAAGTGTAGCTAGCTATCTGTTATCACACAAACGCCAAGACTCCTCCGTGCGTTTCCGTGCGTGCGGTACATCTTGAATATCTACGACGATATATGCACCAGACACTGGTATTGTACTTTATATAAATTATTTCATATTTTGTGTATACAGTAATTTGCAACATGTATAATATTAGACCTTTCATTGACATTGTCCATTGAGGGCTTTATTGAAGAATAATCCAGCTTCTTTAGACTTGTATAATGGATTAATGCCGCTCTGAGTTTAAATCAATTTTTAAATCAACTTTAATCTTTATCGTATTCCGTAACCAATATTTTAGAAGTTTAGTCTGTTTTACCAAACAATACTGGAGGCAAACAACCTATCCATCCATGAAAACTTTAAAAGGTTTGTTACAGTAAAACTCATTAATATAAGCGAGACTTCGTGTGCATATACAATTTATGAATTATGTATATCCTGATAAAACGTAGGACACTTTATACCAGATGTAATAAAAAATACTTTGCTAAACCTTTTCTGCTGTCATTCCTTTGCATTTAAGGGGAGAGGGTAAATGGCGATAGAATTTATAGGAGATGCTGTGCAATATTTTGGCTTCAATAAACAGGTACTCGTGCAGATCGACAAAAAAGGAAATTCATGCAGTTGTGAATTGTCGTATGTCAGCTGTGCACTGTCGATTTCAAACAATTTTGTACGTTATATTTTGTCTTCCTGGTGTTTAACATAAACGATGATAACCTTTTAAAAAAATCTAGAGCAATATGTCTATAAACAGTTTTAGAATCAATAAAATGGACATTCAATGTATATTTGGCTTGTGTCCAAATGTGTCACGTTTAAGACCGGCAAGGCGCTAATCCTACGACCTAGTAAACAGTCGCTTTTGAGACATCTGTTTAACACAATTTATACCGTGTCCATATCAGAAGAATTCATTGGCATATTATAAGCATATTATAAATATCAGAGCCAGAACAGAAACGTACGCGTGAAGTGAAACTACGCCCGAACCGGCGAACTCCGAGAAAATAAAAATATTTCAAAGCGTACAGTCATACGTTCTCGTTGCTTGATTTCCTGAATTTTCTGTTGCTGTAAGAATCTGCATTTTAGCATGTTTGTATAATTTAAAAGCAAACAGAAACCAATTTAGCAAGTAGTTTGAGGTATATATGATTCTTGAAGATGAATTAGATGATTGTACAGAACGGCCACTCCTTGCAATCGAAGTGCGAAGTGCGGAAGTGGAAACATGTAATATGAGACTTTTCCATCCCCCCTTCGGCTATCAATTTTGTATGTGTGACGTCATCAGCCCCGACCAGGGTCTTTGCTTCCCAAGAGCAAAGAGCCTGGGAACGAGGTTG